CTGAGTCACTTCATCCTGGGAGCCAACTTTTGCTGTTTTATTCTATTCTTTGTTTCACAAAGTCTTGCCATACGCCTAAGGCCAGGTACGAATTGAGCCACATCCAGGTGAGGCACGGGCGGATATACGTGGGGGGGGGCTTTCGGGCTGAAGCCCCCCTCCCCAAATGATAAAATATAACCATGTTTTTTCGAAAAAAATATTTAAAAAGTATCTCTTAAAGTATTATTGTTCGTTTAATTACATTTAAAAGGGCTTTAGGAATCACTTAAACACCATTTCATATAGATAGTTAGCTTCTCTCTTTTTTTGCAAAGTAATTATCGTTATTTTTATGAAAAAAAACTTTCGGGCTGAAGCCCCCCTCCAAAATTAAATCCTGGATCCGCTAGTGAGGTGAGGTGAGTTGATGGAACAAATGGTAAGATTAATAAAACTGGTCACAATAATAAATATTTCTATATCACATTAAAAAATTCAGGTATGAGGAAGAATTCTCCATCTATTCCTCTGTTCATTAAATAGCTGCTTTTTGGAACTTTTTTCCCACCATAGACGGAAGAGGCGCCTCGCCGCCCACCCGCTGGATTCACTGGTGCAGGTCGATATTTATTTTTATATCACATTTGAAAATTTGTCTGAGGATGAATTCTCTATTTTATTAAAATAGCTGCTTTTTGGAACTTTTTTTCCAACATCCAGGGAAGAGGAGAGCCCGCCCCCTCAGCTGAATCCAATAGTGCTGGTCACAATAATAATAGTTTTTTATATCACATTAGAAATTCGTCTTTAAAGATGAATTTCCCCCTATATTTCTCTTTTATTTTAGATAGCTGCTTTTTGGAATTTTTTTTACCATCTCCCATTTTTTTCAATATGGGGTGCGCCCTCTCCTTCCCTCTGGCTGGATCCGCTAGTGGTACAATATGAAGAGAAAATGGAAGAATGAAAAAGTAGGTGAGCTGGAAAATAAGCCAACAAGCTTGAAATTTCATTCATAATAAACAAATGAAATCAATTAAGCAATATTAATAATCTTTAACATAATATATATATACCCCCTAGCATATCTGAAAGCTTTTATTAAATTGATTGAGGAGAGATGGGAAGGACAGTACCAGATTACTGTGCAGAATTCATTTAATTAAAATTATTTAAGAAATTTTGAATCAAGTTTAATATAAAATTCATCTCTAAATCCAAACTTTAAAACATACTTATATAAACACATACATTTTAAAACGTAATAATGAAATATCAATAATTTGTTACAGTAGATATTTTTTCTATATTTTCATTCAAATCAACAAACATAAATATATTTATTTGAAAAAATACAAATTATTGTGCCTTAATATTAAGATATTAACTTCTAAGATTAATTAAGAATAACAATTGAAAAATTTTATTTCAAAATGTGGTGAATCATTCTTTAAAAAATATAGAATACTATTTACAATTGTTAAAAGTCTTCTTTTATAAATCTTATTTACAAATAAACAAACAATTGATTTACTCAACAATAAACAACGTTTGTTTAGAGTAATAAATATTTGAGGTTCGGGTTTCTGCACTGTATGATCTGACAAGTTATCATAAACAATAAATGGAAATTTTCAAAATAATATCTAACTTGATAATGCACAAGTATTATTAATGCTATTTGATGAATGGATTTCTTTAATCTAAAAGATATAATTATTGAATTAATAGAACTGCTGGTTTTATCTGCATTTGAGTAGTGATAATAATTTTTGTAATTAGATAAATGCATGTCATTAAAAAAAAAAAAAAATATAGGTTTTATGTTCCTAAACATAATAAAATAGGAATCTAACTTTAAATATATATAGCCCTAAAATAACTATACAAAATAAACATAGCTTAAGATGAAAACACATATAACTAAAGTTATAATTAATTAAACTAATATTAACATAAATAATTTATTTATGAAAAATTTAGCTTTATTAAATTAATTAAATACAATTTCTTTTATTGAAAAATGCTAATGTTTTTGGAAGATATTTAAGGAAGGCTTTAAATTATTATAATAGAAAATTTCTAAGCAACTTAATGTATCCATTCATAGATGATTCTTCAGGAGATATTTAAATAATATCATAGTATAAATTTACATAAAACATTGATAGAAAAATTAAAATTATAGTATTTTCCAGATAAAACTATTAGAGAACAGTAAAACGATCTGAAAATTTCTATTTGAAAGATTTTCATATACATATATTTTTTCACTTATTTTAACTTAATATATTTGAAAAATAAGTCATTTTGCTCCTACCCAAAAAAATATGGTGGGGTATCTATTACAAGAGAATGTGTCCATCATTTATTAATATGTATTCTCTTGCAAACATTTTAATGCCAAATTAGTTTCATCTATAATTATTCAACTTTAAATTAAATAATGATCTTTCACCTTAAATGGCCAAATACGAAAAATAAGGACGGATACCATCAGGTCAGTTATGTAATATACATGAATTGGATCAATCTACTCAGCTAATAAAAATTTTTAATTATGAGTAAACGATTATAAACAGTTTTCTTTTCTAAAAGAAAAAAAAGTTTTCTTTTTTTGTAAGGCATTCTTTGGCATATATTAAATATATTTTATAAAAATTTAATTAAAATAGTTTCTTCTATTTCCTTGCAATATTTATTTTTTGTTAATAGGTCAAGTGGGGTAATTAAATAAGCAGATATAAGCTTTAAAAACTTTATTTAATTTTTTTTTAAATGAATGTTTTAAAAAATCTGTCCCATTTGATCTATTTTCTCAAAACTATTCATCAAGCACTTCACATTAACATTATATTATATAAAAATAGTAGAAGAAAAACAAAACAGTAGTAGAAGTAGAAAAAAACAAAACAGTAGTAGTAGAAGAAAAAAAAAAACCACCTCAATACGAACATTTCTTTTCTTTTTTTTTTCTAATCAAACATTTTAATTATTTGAAATATGTAATGTCGCCTAAAACTTTGATATTAAAATATAGCATTCACAGTCGGTTACAAAACAAGATTACCATCCTCTAACATTTTTAAGGAAGACTATTAGACGGTATAAAATGACATGCATTACAATACTACAAATAATGGTGTAGAAAAATACTAACTAAAAAAATGTATAATTGTGCAAATATTTTGTAGTGAAATTACAAATTAGTTACCTTAGTGTAAATCTAATTATTTGGAATTTTATTATTATAATTTTGCAAGAATATCTTTTGTGTGTCAATGCAAAATTAAATTAACACTAAAATAAAATAGTAATATAAATACCACAATGAAGTTACAAAATGACTAGTAGTTTGTAAAGTATTTCTTTTTTTTTTTTCGAGGACCAATAGGAAACCTCTCATAACTCCGATCTATTTAAGTTAACATTAATCAAACACGTCATATCATCATAGTAACTCTCTTTTTTTTTGTTAGAGAGAAAGGGACCTTAAGGCTCAATCATTAGTAATTTCAATTTAATTATTATCCAAACTTATTTAAACTTTGGAGTCCTCTCTCATCTCTAAGGATACTAGCTTAGGATAGCAACTTTCCCTCAGAAAATTATAACACCTTCAGACACGCAATAGAATAAATAAAAAATAGACATACTTAACATCACATTTTATTATAGCATGCTATTTTTCTGTTCAAGATTAGAAAATAAGAAGTTGAGAATTTCTGTGAATTTGGCTTGAATCATCATTTGTAGTAGCACTCTTTCAGCTATGTTATATCTCAACAAATAAGGTTAGAATTTTTTAAATCAATAATAAAAATATAGTTTTATTTTGAAAGTATCGTTAAAAATAAAGAATGAATATTTGTAAATAAAATGCAGTAGTCATTCTCTTGTATTGCTATAGCATTCCCCACTTACTAGGTAGTCAGCAAAACCCTGCTTCATATATAAATAATTTTATTAATCTCTATATCTAAGATTGATATTTATTCACTCACTCAGAAAAAAGGTTTAAATGTCTTAAAAGGCAATTCTCTAACAAATTTTCAACCCTTAAACTCAATTTGGAGGGGCAATAGGTGTGAAAAACAACAAATAAAATGGTGTTTGAGTGGAAGGAAAAAGTTGTGACCCCACAAAATGCACATCCTGTATGTGTAATTTTTAAGCAAGAAGTTCTATAATTAATTCATTACAAACAAACAATTTTTTACTAATTTTATTTGGTATGACTTAACAAATACATAACCCTTCACGACAACAGACGGTTCTAAAACATAGACCTCTGGAAAACAAACTAAACAAATATTCAGTCTATTTATCCATAGAAGTAATACAATCAACTGTCTTCCGAGAGCCATCTATTAATATCAAAGCACTTAAGCCCAATCATGTAATACCCCTTTATCTTACTTTGATCTCTAATATTTTTAAACAATTTAATTATATCAGGTTCTAATTTTAAGAACAGCAATAATTCATCCCTAAGATTTTCTTGAGAATATTTATACTACGCTGTATCAATTCCAATCTTTCTTGTATAAGTCTATATCAAATCACTCCAGAAAAAAACTGATCAACAACTAAGGTCAAATAATTAATTAGAAGTCCTTCCAATTAATGAATAAATTTCCACCACTCAGATATAAAAATTATGGTTTTATTTTTTCCCGTAGGACATAAATTCTCACCACTTGGAAGTAAAAAGTATGTTTTTAGTTTTTTAAAATTAATTATATAACTGGTATTGGAAGGACACCAATGTGTAATAACAGAGTGAGACATCAGGAGGATAAAGCAAAATCAAAATTATAATCTTCATAATTAGAAAATCAACAATGTTCTCAAGCCGACAGTATACAACTAAAACTGCCCAAAACATTAATTATAAACTTTTGTATAAATAATGATTAAAATGTATGGCATAAATAAGAACAGAGTAATACCTATTAGGTTATAAAATTAAAGCAACCATATTGTCACTAAAATACCGTTAATATATAGTAATATCACTAAAACATTATGTAACCAAATAAACCCAACATCTTGAGGTAGAAAAAATTTATTTGGTCAGTTTTAGTCGAATGCAGGCAATATTTGTATTAGCATGTATCTATATTATATAATATATACAAATATTAGCATATATATAAAACATCCATGAAATTGACAGTTTTCCAATTGCATATATTTTTAGATAAATATTTTGTTTATTTTTAATTATGTTTGATTATATTTATTTATTGATAGCTAATTCTCCTTTCATTACTTTAATGTATCAGCCTTAAACAAGTTTAAGCAAAATTGGGTGTACTATTTGTAAAACAAGAGATAAATATTGCTTAAAATGCCTTTTAGTGGTAAAGTAAATTATTATACTTTAATTTTCTCTTTGTAGAGAAGTAATTTGTTTATTTAAACAATATTTACAAACTCATCATTAACAATATTCATCACCTATCATCAGAAGCCAACTATTGTATAAAGGGTGATAATAAAAGCACATAAAGGGCAGTTTCAAAAACATTATCTTGAAGACATCAATGTTGTTTCAATACGAGTAAAAAAAGTAAAAATATAAAACTATTTCTTAGAATTTAAGTTGTAATCGACAGATCTCAACTGAGGAGATCTTTAAAAATGTTGTCAGTGCAACCACTTTGGAAGTGGGTAGGAAAACTCTGAGTACCAATCCCTGAGGAAGACACTTTCCAGCTCATCTCGTAGGCTATTTTCACCGATGACAACAAAGCCTATTCCACCAGTCGAATTGAAGTAATCACCAGACCAGTTCGATGTCCCTGGAATGAAATATAAATATTATTTGATATTAAAAATAGTTGCTCTCACCAATCCAGTATTGCGGGATCTAGCCTAAGGCTAAATAACATAAATTGGCAACACAGAAGTGATTTAAGTTAACGTTACAGTTCCTAAACCAAGATTGTTATATTGATATAATCTGTAATTTTAATATTGTTATAAATATACTAATCCTTATTGGTCGTAAACCAGCTTTCACATAACAACACGAAAATGTTATTCTTACTATATTAACATTTGTTTTTGCATATTAATTGGAACCAGCTATAACCTAGTAAAAACCACATATAGCGGCCGAGTTAACTGCCCTTCAGAACCTAGTGGCCTATTATTTCACCTTACCACCATCTGGTAGCACCATATGGTGCGCTCACTCATCATATCGAAAAATTGTATTTTAATTATTGTTATATAAAAAAAAACTGAAGTTCTAAATTGTAAATATGTATATACATTGTGAATACTTTTTATTAATAAAGTTTAATGGCAATAAGGTTTACTGATCAAAGCATTTAAATAATAATAACGGTAATGGCTCTTGTTAGTTGATTTAATCATGGCAGAATGATTACCACAATTCTTAAAATTTTAAGACAGACGTTGGATCTCTGGATGTCAGACCTTCCAAGTAGTTTGATCGGTATATTTCACATAGATTTTTTGGTTCTAGGTCAAACTGCCTTTTATTTCCCTATGCTCCTTTAACCTTTTACCTATCCATACAAGGTCTGGATGCTCATCAGTCTGCTTGTACTCCTATGTACTAAGTCTGGAAACTCATCCCTCTGTTAGCATTTCATCCTCCCACAAAGTCTGGAGATTCATCCATCCGTTTGTGGTTTCTGTCCTGCGATGTCATAAGGTTCATCCCTTAGCCCGCAGACTAAAAGTGATTTGGGTGCTCATCCACCTAACACTTGAGGTCATCCTGTCTTAGCCTCTTCCTTCATCCACTAAGTCATTATACCTTAATTTAAACATTCTTTGTCGAGGCCTTCTGATCACTTTGCTTATACCCATCTCGATACAGGTATAAATAGCTAGCAATCAATAAGGTCAACCGGCCACCGAAAGCTGAGGGTAGCTGAGTCAGCTGAGCGGCGTAGCAAGGTTTAGCTCACCTCACCACATCTACTCATCACTGTCACACAATCGTGGGGCTTTGTTCCTCAGTGTCATCCTTTTGTTCCGCTCATTTTCACTGCACAACCTCTCAAATTATTTTATTTTGGTTGTGTAAAATGTGCTATGGATGCGGAAGAATTCTTAATTGAATGTGTAAGGAAAAATATTCAATTTTATACACAAATATTCAATTTTTCTTTTTAGCTCCGAAATGATCACCTTTGTAATTTTGTAAAATGTTCTCTATGCTTTATATCCTTTTTAAAAATATTATATGGAATATGAGAAGGGTACAGGTGCAAGGCAAGTTGCTGAATGAGATGAGCTCCGCTACGCAATTGGTTGCTGATCCCCTCTTGCAATGTTCAGCTCACCTGAGCTCAGCTAAGCTTAATTCAGCTCAACTGCGCTTTCGATGGCCGGTCAGCCTAAGGGTTAATATCTAATTATAGTTACACAAAGAAAAACATAATTAAGCAAAATGCATTATATATTTTAAATTCAAACATATGAATCACATACAAATTAAAGTGAACCCACTTAAGTCACTCCAGTACTCAATCAGAACAAATGGTCTAAAAAATTAACTGTTGTTTAAAATAATTTAAGCAATATCAGGTCTTACCAATATAAGCTGTGTTGTCAGTCACCATATACTTATTGTGATTCAATCTAGCATAAGGGATTTTGGCTTGTGCAGCAGTGCTTGGAACAACAAACAACTTCTAGATAACAAAAAAAAAAAAAAAAAAATACAAATATTATTATGCTTTGAGAAACAACAAAAATTTAAAATAGAAACTAAGATACCCTATTATTACTTTAATCTATACTATGTTCTGAAAGCTTAAGTTCATTTTTAAAATTATGACTATAATGATATATGAAGAGGGAATCAAGTTATTTAGGATCGTTGTCATTAGGAAAAAAAAATCCAAGAATTTTTGGATTGGTTACATACTACAATTTCTATTGATACAAAAGAGGCACTAAAATGATTGATAATTAAAAACTAAAAATTACTTACAACAGTGATTTTCACTCCTTTGTATGAATCTGAAATAACCTGAAGAGAGTTTAAAAATAACTTTTCCTCCTTACGAGAATGATTAGTCCAGCTAACCAACAGTCTGACTTCTACTCTCCTGTCAATAGCAGCAGCTTTCAATGCATTATCAATAACAGGCCAATACCTGGTAAAAACAATAGCGAGTAATTTTTGATTAGATAATTACAAATTATAATTAATAAGACATTCAAGAGTCATTTACTTTGGTTTAGGAGTGAACATCATTAGTGGCATGTAATCCATCACAGCGATATATATGAATTTATCTGCAGCCTCAATGGTACTTAAAATACTATCTATGTCGGAAGTCCTTCCCTCTGGGCATAGAGGAGCAGGTGAACTCTTAAATAAAGTCAGATAATAGAAAATAAGTAATAAATGTTATTTTGAAAAAGTATAAAAAATATAAAGTCTCATTTTACAGGCAAGTTAAAGTTCTAATACAACTTTTAATTAACTAGTAAACAATAAATGTGACAAAGTGCTAGATGGTGAGGAAACATTTCCTTATAATGAGATATTGAAAATGAAAATTTAAAGAATATATAATTTGATTTTAGAGAGAACAATTTTGTAGAGAGTTGTGATGATTTTCAACTGAAGAACCAGCCACCAGTAGAGAATTTCCTTCAGTTGAGAACCTATCACAGAATCGCTTCATAAGAGAAACAGTGTGCCTTCATTGTTATCATTACCCTATTTTCATCATGCTATCGTATACAATTTTACACAAACAATCTTTATTAAAGTATTAGTTACAGCAATTTTGGCCAAGTATAGACATTCCTGCTCATGAATTGGTATTGTGCAAATATTTATTTTTTGATGATGTAACTTTTATATAAAGAACACTCATGATAGTATTTCAAAAGAAATGCTGTAACTTCTAGCAAATTCTTATAATATAATACAACAATGATATTGTTTTTAAAAAATTGTAAATAAAAAACATTTTTGTAAAATGTGTTGATGGTTGTCTGTATGATAAATCAAGGTGAATGGTCCAGAAGTCACTGATTGGTTCATGCAACCATTTTGCCCTGACGGAGAACTATAATGGAAATAGAAGTGTCTGCACTGAATAAATAGTTATAAAATTTTTGGATGTTTTTATAACCAATCTCTGGACAATCTTCTTCTTGATTTAAAAAAAATAAAATAATGGTTAGATAACTATTTATTATTTCCAATAATTGGACAACCCTAGTCCATAAAGATTATTCTTCATTTTTAATTTTAATTTTCATCATATTCTTAACACCAAATCTTGAAAAAAAATAAAAATTGAAGTGGTTGTTATCAAATTAATTTGAGAATACCAGTCAGCTGGTGTTCCTCAAGGTAGTATCCTAGGTCCTATTCTTTACACAGTCTATACAGCTGACATCCCAACCCATCCAAGCACCATTATTACAACCTATGCCGATGAAACATGTGTCCTATCAGTTAATAACGACCCAATGATTGCATCCCAAACCCTTTAATCCCACATCACAAAGCTTGAAGAATGATGTCAAAACAGAAGAATTAAAATAAATTCCAATAAATCCCATCAAATTACCTTTAATCTTTGTCGTAAACCTATGACTTCCTGTCCTACAGTATCCTTTAATAATACTCCACTTATCCCTGTTGAGCAAATCCGATACCTAGGACTCCACCTGGACAGATGTCTAACTTGGAATCCTCATACTAGACTGAAATGACGAGAAACGTTTCCGACTACTTCAGCACTTACTAGACAAACACTCTAACCTTTCCATTAATTACAAAAGACTCATGACATAATACATGACCATAATAAGACCTACTTGGACTTACAGAATTGAACTTTGGGACTCCACTAAACCATCAAATTCTTCTCGTATTCAATCTTTACAATCCAAAATCCTTCATGTTCCTTACTTTGTAACAAGTAAAATAATCCATAATGAACTGAATGTTCCATATGTTTCCGATTTGGACCAATTCAGATACCTTTCCTTCCATAATAAACTTCAGAACCATCCTAATCCTCTCGTTTCAAACCTTGCTTCCTCCTCGATCCCTGATAACCCTCCTAGGTGTCTGAAAAGAAAATGGCCCCGTGATCTTCTAATTTAGATACTTTATAAGAGTGCTACCAAAGGGTAGATTCTCGACAAGCCTTGTCATGTCATATATTTCTTTGTATCACATTTGCTGAATATATATTAATTTGTAAAGTTGTAAATTTCATAAATAAATAAATAAAATTTGAGAATTTTCAATTTCTCTAGAAAAGATTTGGTGTATCTGCTTACACTACTTTCCTACCTATTTCAGAAAAGTTTTTATATCTTTATACATGTCCATCAAGAAACAAAAAAAAAGTGAATTAGATTTATTTTCCTGAAAATTTATCAAAGAAAAGATTTGAGTTCAATTTATTTGATAAACTAAAGCAATGTAAACCGCCTTAAGGTAGATCAGTGTAAAAATTTCAAAACCCTCTAATATTGCTGATCAAAATCTTTTCGTCATAGCCCAATTTTGTCAAACAATAATTTCTGTTAAAAGAGGAAGAAATAGTGAAGCTTGTGTGATGCGGGCAATAGATTTTCTTACTTTCACTTACGTATATATGTAATATATAGTAAGGGTAAGTATTGCGATTGTGAAAATTTTCTAATCTCAGCTTTTAACGGAAATACATGTTTTGAAGTCCCCTGAGTCCAAATAACCAAGTGTCGCAAAATGGTCTGTGTGTGTGTGTTAACAGTCTAGCTCATAAACAAAAAGTAGTATGAAACTGATATTAAGTATTTAAGGTTTGTATATGAGCTGGATGTGACAGTAACTTTTTCGTTAAAATCGGCAAACCGGAAGTGCCACTTCATATGAATGCTGAAACATATTTTTACACTTTCCTCAAAAATGGCTCTAACAATTTTGAATCAAACTCGGTGTATCATTGTATAATCAAGTGGTTTTTAATATCATTTAAGTCTTATCCTCGTTGATGTCACTTTACAGGGCTTAAATACTCAATGTTCATATATGTCTCTCTAAAGTACCTTTAATATGGTTTACTTTAAAATGTTAATCATTTCGCATTATTCAAAGTTACGAAAAAATGCTAAATATAACTTTTGAAAGAATTTGATAAGGTAATAAAGGAGAAAAATAAATAAAAATGCAGAAAAACCTGCATTGCTATAGACTGTAGCGCCTAAACGAATGTACCGATTTCAATGAAACTTCTCTAAAGTCATTTTTTCGACACCCTTTAAATTTATCTATATAACATACTTCAACGAAAAGAAACTGGAAAAAAAGTTACGAGGGATGGTAAAATTAAATTCCGAATAACTCAATAAGTATACACTTTTTTGGGGATGTTGTGATAAAATGTTTCAAAGGTATTTAAATTTCCTAAAAAATGAAAGAAGTTTCATCGAAATCGAAGCACTATTAGTAGAGATATCGCGATTTTTAAATATGTTTCTAAGCCAAACTGTTATCAACTTTAGTAAGTAATTAACAAAAACTTTTTGTTTTCTTATATTCTTTTTGAAATAAATGAATATTTTGGTTAACAATGTGTGGTAATAAATATAACCGGATTTTCTATATAATACAAAAGACAAATGAAGTGCTGATTTTATTTCCAAGGGAGACTGATTTATCCGAAAAGTTTACCGCTAATCCAATTATCACCACCATTCATACCGGAAGGCAGCTTAAGAGGGTCTCTCTCCATTGGAGCTAGTATTAAAGGACCTGTTGTTTTATCAGATATTATATATGTTTTTTAAAAATTTTATGAAATTTCTTAAAAAAAAAAAGTGTTAAAATCGGACAATTAGGAGGAAAGATATGGTCTCTAGTTTTTTTCCCCTGAAGAAGTGAAAATTTGTATAAATTTAAAATATACTTTTTTAATTGTTGAGACTAAAAAAACTTTTTTTCTACAGATATTTAATAAAGCATCTTATCTCAGAACATCTTTCATAAGAAATAAGTACCTAAATTTATACCTTTATTCTCAGTTCTATATTTCAACACTGCAATCACCACCTCCGGAATCAACTTACTTACTGTCTGCCTAGTTATCACAAAATTGACATTACTCAAAAATTTTGAAATTGGAGTTAGTCATTCTGTGGTTTATAAAAGCAAAGAAAATTGTGTGGTTTATAAAAGCAAAGAAAGTTGTGTAGTTCATAAAAGCAGATGAAGTGACTAGATTTTTATTGCCTAACATTGACATAATAAATAGACATTTTATAATTATAATGGTCTTAATGACTTGTTATCTGTAAGCTTTAAGCTTTAGCTCCATTTAAAATGCACTTCAAAAATTTTTATAATAGCCCAGCATTGCCAGAAAATAATTTCTATTCAAAGTAGAGCAGTAAGTAAAAGTTGTGTGTTGCGTGCACCAGATTTTTTTTTCTCTCATTCATCCCTTTCTGACACCAGGATAAGAACTTGTAATCTTAAATTGGAAATTGAATAACTTGAAAATGGAATTGAAATGTTAATAGTTGTCCAAAATGATTGATTTTTAAATAGTTTTTTAGGGATTTTCAATATCTTTAAAAAAAAAACAAAAAAAAAAAAACAGGCTAAACGGTGTTTTTCAGACTCTGAAACATATAGATCCGTCGAAAACTGCTTATCAAAAATTTGACCTGATCGCAATACTTTCCTTATACAGTATAGGTAGGAAAGTAATAAATTAAAACATGTGTAGAAAATAGAATAAGCTGTATTATCACTAATACTGGTCCAATTCCAATGATTTTTTTGGAAATTTAATTACTTTTCAAAAGTTTTATTATAAATTTTACCATAGAATATATACTTAGCAAGTTAGGCCCCCAAAACACTTTTCTTTTCTTTATAACTTTTTTCCCTGAATTTTCTCGGGAATTTAGTCCATGTATGAAAATTGAAAAGACTATTATTAGAACATTATAGAAAAGTTTCATCAAAATCGTTAGAGCTGTTTTTGTGCTACAGTCTATAGAAAAACATGTGTTTCATTTATTGAGCATGGAGCATCCAATTTGTGTCACAGGCATCAGTAGTCAAAACCTAATATCATCAACTTATTATATATAAAGTCGAATAATATAAAATATAAATAGTTATTTCTACTATATATTATGGACATATTCAAATCATAAGTTCAAATAAAGTTGTCTATTGAAATATAAAATATGATATGCTTATAGTAATCCAATACAGTTGGGCAGTAATACATTCATAATAAAGTGTTTCTCATAATCACATGTTTTTTCATGTATGTTATAGATAATGTTCATTTTGGTCCTAGGAAAACTTCAAACTCTATACCAACACAAAAAAAAAAAAATCAACAAAAAAAATTCTTATAAATTATTTTTGGACTTACAGATATGTAGGTAGACGATTTTGTGCCATTAATATAAATTTGAACTGGATCAAGTTTATTGATCTCAGTCGATAAATCTTCTGGCCATGTATCAGGGATGGTTGAATCTGGCGTGGCTAATAACCAATATACCTAAAAATTTACAATGAATAGATTATTTAATACTATTAGAGAAAATTATTGCAAAGCAAAAACATAGAAATCATATAATATACTATTTGACCTGAAGATAAAGGACACTATGTTCATTTTTTTATTTAATAGTTTAGTAACTAAGGAAAAAAATTTAATAGGTTAAAGTTATTGAAAATTGCCTCCCTAAACATACAGAGAAATGTGACATGATGGCCTTCACCTCGGGTGTACAGATTTAGTAACTAAGAAACAAATTTTAATAGCTCAAAGTAATGGAAAATCGGCTCCACTAAACAAACACAAAAATGAACATGGTTTTCTTCACCTCCGGGGTACAGACTTGAATGTTTATAATAAAATAAAATGCAAATTAAAGAAATAGTACAGAACAATTTTATCTCAAATAGTATTCTCCAAGAAAACCAGCTTATTTCTTTGATAAGATTTTTTGTATATAGATTTTCTTGTGTAACAATACTGAGAGGAAATATGTAAATAGTATTAAACTTATTTAATATATTATATTATTATAAATTAATATATTATTTAATATAAAGGAAGCAGTAACATCAGAAAACGTCAGCTGTAGTTTTAAGGCACAAAATGCCTGTTTTCTAATTCAACAAGTATGGTATCGACTATGGATCTGCAGTAATAAAAAAATAACCTATTATCCAAACAAAATTAACTAATTACATATTTATTTATCTTTGGTTCTTCTGGTTATTCTCAAACAAATTCCCACAAAATTCAAAAGATCTGCCACAGAAACTTCATTGTTACTGAGGAATAAGAGGAGAGTGAAAATGTTTCTGATATATAGAAGAAATGTTCAATAAAAATATGTTAAATTTTATGGAAGTGATAAGGCAAATTATAGTATGCTGTCTCATCAGGAAGTGATTCCTAATAAATAATCCCTGGATATCCATATAAACTAAAGCCACTAACCACTCATTCCATCTTAGTTATGCTTCAGCCAAAATTTTGGAAATATTATTTGAAATTAATTTTTTGTTTGATAGGATCCAAAATTCTATTTTTAATGAAAGATAAGATTGCATGTTAATATCAACATTGAATACATACAAATTAGAATATTGATAATTGAAAAGTAAATAGTAAAATTTAATTTTCTAGTAATAATAATTCAAGACCATAGCAAAATAAATTAAATAGACTGAGGCTTCCGGATTTTAACTTATTTCAGATTGAAATCGACAAAAAGTTAAAAGAAATTGACTAACATCCATTACTATGAATTAAACGTTTACATTTAATTATTTTCTAAATTTTATCATGATCATCATTGTATTATGGAGAAATAGCTATCCAAAATCTGAGAACTAGATACAACTTCATAAATGGTCATAATTAGCAAACACAAAATGCAAATAAATTAATTTTTGCCTATAAATATTTATTTAACGAAAGCATGGCAAAAATGGAGGTCCAATTAAGCTGCAGTAAAAATGTTAACATCACAGCAATCTACGTAATACAAGATACAAATATTATGCATAAAATATCAAAATTTTACAAACCTCAAATATTTTGGCCATGTCTTCAACAAGACAGGAACAATTGGTCATATAAAGGCCTAATTCTTTAACATGTGATAGTGACCTCCAATCCATATTAGCACTTCCGACATAAACTACTTTTCTATCAACTAACCATAATTTGGTATGTAAAATACCACTTCCCAGGAGGCGGGCCATATTCAAATTACGAACCTATTAGCATAACATACAAAAACATGATAATTAAAATATTGGTATATGATTTACTGTTATATTCTAAAAAAAATAATGGTAATTATCACAATTTAATGTTTAGCATATTATTTTTAGAGTTACAGGACAACTTACTTCTGCCACTCCTTTTCGAGTGAATATTTCAGTGTCTAAGTCGGGCATTGATTTTGTAGGTTCACTTTGGACAATACGGATTTTCAAACCTCTAGTTGTCCCAGCTTCCATTAAAGATTTAAAGATATCTTCTCCCTGTCATTTTAAAATAAATAAAAACATAACTTATTTTTTAAATTAAAATTTCCTGATAATGGAAAAAATAGAAGAATAAAGTAACTTTATCTTGACTTTGAATATTATTATGACAATCAACATTTTTATTTTTTTTTATTTTAAATCTCTGTACCACTACAACCTATGAAGGGTCACGGTTTTAGTACTACATAAGGAAGTACTGTTTCTAGGGACATTTAGTTTATCCAAAAATTAAGAGAAGGATCTAATGGAAAAACAGCAAGGAGAAACTCGTTTGTGAGTGAAGAAAATAGAAAAAACAAATCTTGCTCAGCACAAGAATTTTAGAATAACTTTAGATTTAAGTAATTTTTTGTTTTCTGTAAATCTAAATTGAATATTTCTGGTCATTCAATGTTTGTTACTAACTATATATTATTAACAGAACAATATTATTATTATATTTGTACCGTCTAGCAATAAATTCAATGGACATTACTTTTTCAGATCCAGGAAATTTATTCACATCTGAATCTCTGAGAGTCCAATAAAAGGATGCTATTTCAATGGACTCATTAGCACCATCTATCATCTCTTTCCACACATCATATGTGGACTTAAATGGAGTGCTACCATTTCTGTAAGACATTCCATCAGGTATAGTTTCTACTATTGAGAGACTGGAAAAAAATAAAAAAATATAAATATGGAATTAATACTAATGCAGAACTATCCAATCCATATAAATCAACACAAAAATAATATTTCACTATAGTTTTGTTAATACCTGCAATTTTGAAGACACCTGTTTCTAAAAAGATCTTGAACAGTTGATCTATGATGCTTTTCAGCAGCATCGAGTAATGGTAAAATAACGACAAGGACAATAAGGAGTAGGATGATGGTGATAGGAACACATGAAGGCTTGAACCATCCTTTTTGCCCCCACCTTTAAAAGCAATATGCAATTCAATATCATTAATAGTAAATAAAATAAAAAGTTGTAATAATAAAAGCAAACATAAGCCGTATTATCTCTAAACCACCAGTATAATAAATATCAACTTTCTACATTAGAATTCTTATTCTATTTTCGAAGTCTTTGTGACTACACTTACATATTTCAATAATATAAATGAAATGCAGACAAATCAACATCTTAATTCCTATTTGTCTTTATCTTATCAGTTACAATTAATCTTAATTAAAGACAATGTTTATATTTAATGCAGTTATTCAATGCATGTAACAGCTACAATAACTATGACATGGAATGAAAACTTAAATTATGACTTACATGTCATTATAACGTTCACCAAAATCATCTTGGTCAGTTCGAAGCATGTATCTTGAATCCCATTCATCATAATCGTCTGATGGAACTCGATCAATGTGGCGCTAAAGAGAATATATTCATTAAAAATTAAGTAAACTTCAACAATGTAAAATTGTGAGTATAATTCAACCATAGTCAGCTTAAAAAGTATAATACAATATAATTTAGGCTTATAAACCATAATTTTCTAATCATAATCTGAAGTGATAGAACACATATATTAATAACTTAAAGCAATCTGACTATTCATTTTTACAAGAAACAATGTGTACCGTCAACTTACTTTTTGAAATTAATTATAAATAGAACATTTCTATTAAAGCACTATACATAATAAAATATCAAACAACTTATAAGCAATTATTTACATTTTAAATCAAACAAAATTTAAAATGGTATCACAGAAACTAAAAGAAAAGATCAAATAGTTTAAAATGAATGACATATTCATAAATAACATTATAATCAAACATTTAATAATTATCTACAACCTTTGGTTTCCCTTGTAATATTTTGGGTATCGTCATTTTTAACAACGTACAGACTTCAGGAAATTATAAAACAAATAAACGAACTACATACAATTCATCACTGGAAAGATAATACCTGAATGCTATGTTAACGGCAGGAACCTTGTGCGGGCTAGTAGTCTTCCGATCAGCTGATTAATCAAAACATTCACTGACCTTCCTTGTTGACAAGGATTTTTCGTTTCTGTTTATGTAACTTTTATACAGATTATATTACGTGATTTTTAAAAATATGAATATATATTTATTCCATTAGGTATAAATACATACTAGAATACGTCTGTTGAAATGATTATATATCTATATATTTATTATTTTTTGGTATTTGAACTCTTTTGGTTTCACTTTTTTTATATTGTACGTCAGTAGAACGGAATTTAAATCATAAATTCTCTGAAGGTGCGTTCATACTATGGGAAACACAATATCTAACTCAGGAGTCTTCAAACTTTCGAAGAGCCTCTTTGAAAGAGGGCCACATTGAGATCTTCACCAAGTCATGCGGGTCGCATTGAGACCTCCATTTAAGTCCCGCGGGCCATGGCTGGTGATAAACAAAAAACATCTTGTTATATAAATGACACTTCAGTTCACTAGCGGATTCAGGATTTAATTTTGGTGGGAGCTTCAGCCCGAAAGATCTTTTTTCTTATACGTATAACAATAATTAATTAGAAAAAAAATAAAGAAATTAACTACCTATATGAAATGGTGTTTAAGTGGTTCTTGAAGTCTTATTAATTGTAATTACACTAAAAAGAATACATTAAGAGATAGTTTTTAATCTTTTTTTCTGTAAAACATGGTTAGATTGTACCATTTCGGGGGGTTTCAGCCACAAAGCTCCTCCTCCCCGTAGATCCGCCTGTGCTTCAGTTGTTAAATGAGCTTTTTAAGAGAAAAAAAACATGTAGTAAATGTTTTAGTAATCTCTTGTGGGAGTAATTTGCTGAATTTCTCATTCACCGAATAGCTTGCGGGCCATACTTTGGAGACTCCTGATCTAACTTAAGATGTATTTAGACATTTCACAAACTACAGGAAAAACAATTATCTAACATAACTAACAGCTGCATTATTGTTAAATCAAACTATTTCTTTTATTTCTCTTGATATAGACAGCAGATGGAAACCATCAAAATCAAGAAACAAAAATACTAGTATAGTGGAATAAGTATTTATATAATTGTTTGTTCCATAATTAATGGCAAAGGCGGATCTACGGGGGAGAGGGGAGGGGAGGGGTTTCCGGCTAAAGCACCTCCCCTTTCCCCGAAATGGTAAAATATAACCTTGTTTTATTAAAAAAATTGTCTCTAAAAGTAATATTGTTCGTATAATTACATTTAATAGGACTTAAAGAATCACTTAAACACCATTTCATATAGGTTCTCAGTTTCTTTCTTTCTCCCGAAGTAATTATCGTAATATGTACATACAAACTATTATTCGGGTTGAAGCCCCTCCCCCTCCCCCCAAAAAATATTAAATCCAGGATCCGTTAGTGGTTAATGGTATGTCTAAACCCACCTTAACGTCGAAACTGTAATTCATGTTGGTGATACAGTCCAGGCCAAATAAATAATTAAAGATTTATTGGAGTAATGTACAATCTCAACCACTTGATTTTTTCAATGATATTTCGGTACTCAAGAATACAAAGTATTCACTCTTCAAACTCAAACATCAGAAACAGTAAAATTTCAATTTTTCTTTGTAATCAAAAAGACAATATTCTTATATTTTAAACAGTGTATGTAATAAATATTCTTACTATTGTCATTATTCTAACAACTTCATTTTACTGTAATTTTTATATTTCTTATACCTTGTTATCTGATTCTTTTCTTAGCCCTGATGATGGCCTGAACTTCAGGTCGAAACGTCGGCATATGTAAAAATAAATATTATCATTTATTTTTGCCTTCTTTTTTGACTGACCAACCCAACTATTCTTCTCTTCATTCTCCACGCAGTCAACCATTTACCAATTAAGTAATAAATATTAGTTGTTTGTAGATGGTGGGTTGTGGAATTCGGTCCCGAGTTAAAAATTATTTCTCGACCCAAAATGGAATAAAATGACCGATAATTTTTTTTTCTCCAAATAAATATACAATATTTTGTCCAAATAAAGTTAAGGATGTTAATTCATATTTTCATCTATGTCTTCCTCCCGTGGGGGTGCATTAAGGCCTATTCTCCTTAGATAATAAATAGAAATATGCCTATTCTCCTGATTAACGGTTCGTAATTGTTTTCTTTCTATCGTTTCCACGGTAGAGTACATCTTGAGTTCTGCTTTGAATTAGTTCATTTTTCATAGTCAATTTTGCTCTACATAGAGTGATTTAGGATTGCGGCTCTGCGAAATAGTCTCAGAAAAATTTTTCATTCACAATTTGCATTAATATTTTACTCATTATAATGACGTACATATCGTCAAATTAAAAATCTAAAGCCCAAATATATTTAAATTTGGGTTAGCTATTCATTTTTCAATTATTATATTATTAATATCAAGAGTTCCATATCTAAAAAAAAATAAAGTCTTTTTTAAAAATAAGAAAAGAGGTTAATCCCATGACGTCATTTGTATAAAAAATAATTAATTCCTATTACTATTAATGAAAAAAAATCTAATCTAATTTATTTTAATAAAAAAAAAATAACTATACCAGAAATAATATTATAATCAACTTCAGAAATTATGTTTCTCTACCAATGCCTCTTTGTAATGTCATATATAAATAAGTAGCTTTAAAAAAAAAAAAAAACAATTTATAAAAATAAATTTATATCCTTTGTCGTTAAGGATTGCATATTGACTGAAATAATGTTTAATGGAAGAAAAAGGAAACCTTTCAAAGTTTGTCAATAGTTGCAGAATCGTGGGCTAGGAGGACTTTTCTCTATTTCAATGTAGAATGTAATAGGGCTTCATTGTGTAGAAAAGACTCACGTTATACTGCAATAAAATTATGAAAATGCAAGTAATGAATTTCTAAAAAAATCTAGTGCGAACATCACACGACTTTCACCTACCACCCATCTTCTTAGCAGAAATAAGTATTTTCAGATAAAGGGGAGTTGAAAATAAAAATTATAGACGCTATATTTATTTACATTTCATTGTGGGTATTTTTCTTTGTTTAAATACCCTGATATAGACAAATTTTGGTGTCTATATCGCTGTATTCTATACAATTAAATAGTAAATAATACCAACGATAGCATTTTTGAAAACCGTATATATTTATGTACATAGTATTGTCGGAGTCCGTATCATATTAAATTCATGTTATGTATGGAAGCCTGTTATAATCTTTCGGGCGAGCTCACCCAATCTCTGGAGGACTCGATTGGCGATTACTTTGCCAGAAAGGATTTGACGAAAAAGGTTCCAGCTAACTAGACTTCTAATGAAAAACCGTGAAAAAGACCTGTCACTGATGATAATTTTTCATTAGTTTTTTATTTGCTGTTACTTATTTTAAATTTGTTTCGTGTCACTTAGACAAGGCACATGTAGCTGTATTTAATATATACACACAATAAAGATTCCGCAAACCAATCTTTCAAACAAGCGGCTCCCTTAGATGTCAGTGATGAAATTAGAAATACTAGATATCTACGTAAACCCCAGAGTGCTTTTATTTTCTGGTTTAAAAGTTTTCTTACAATTTAAAACCTAATGTGTCCCCTCCAAAAAAATTTGATGCAACATACAACTCCCCTCTGGGCACCCCTAAGTACAATTTGGTTTTTTTACTTTCTGCATAAATATAAAGTTGTCCTACCTTCGGTACTGAGGCAGCAAAAAATGTTTCATGCTTTTTGAAAACATTGCAACATATTTGATTTGCTGTCTATATTATTAAATCTTCTGCATAAAAGGGATAGCTATACTCGGAGCAATCCATCAGGAAGCTTCTACACAACAATGAATGCGTCAATAGTTGGCAAGAGAACGAATGGAAAGCCATAATCGGCTAGAAAGATAGAACCAACAAAAATTGCAAGACTGAATGTAGGAAACTGTAAAGCAATACTCCAAAATAGGACATGATTTACAACTCTTTTGATAGACAATTTATTAGAGTGATATAACTACGAGATTTGTCCCCTGATTAATACCAGATGCTCATTTTAGGATAGAGTGAACCAAGGTGTTAAACTGAATATGGCCACTAATTTTTAACAAGATAAAATTTCATGGGTTTACGTCGGATTCTAACCTAGTTCTGTAAGGAACCGTAATTACCATCAATCACCTCTCTCCTACAACAAAACAGTTATATTTTATTATTTAATTTTGTAATAATCTTTTGTGAAAATTCTGAATACAAGTCATTTTTAATGGAATTGCAAATGGATATTTTTTATTGGGAACTGTTTCGTAATGGTTTGTAAATTGATAGGCTGTAGCAAGGTACTTTTTATTTATACACCGAGCATTGCATGCTTCCTCTTATCTTCGTTATCGTTACCAATTAATCAGTTTAATGGAGTAAATCGATTTATGACCTGCGATTAGTAGAACGAAGGTCTTATTGATTACTCCATAACTTTTTTTGTTCCTTTCATCTGAAAATAATTAACTTTATTTTCTTTGTATTACGCCCTTTTTGTTCAACGTATATCATCACAGAAGCAATATATTATGCATACCTATTTTATTATTATTATTTTTTTATGCTCTCAATTGAACATCTGATCGATGTATTTTAAACAAAATATTTTGTTGCTCAATCTACAGCAACGTTTTCATTCACATCTAATCTGAATTTGAAATCTAAATTAATAACGTAGAAGTTGTGTTAATATTTTATAAAAACATGTCTTCATCTAGCGCAATCCAATGTATTTTTCTTATCCGATTATTAATTTTAATTGATGTTATTTATATATGAAGGACTGGTTAAATAAAATCTCAGATTTGTATGATTTGGGTGAAATTTTGATCATCATTTGATTTGTTTAGAGTAATTATAGTCATTTAAATCTGTTTAATCCAAATCGAGAAGTGAAGGCGTATTTCTCATGAATGTTTGAACCAATACTAAAAGTATTCTCTAATAAATGGTGAGCTTCTGACAAGAGTTT